TTCTCTTAGTCAGTGACTCTGAGGTTGCAGGGTGAACCTAGCGAACTGCTATGAAATAGATTTCTCACATACCAACCACAGTCTGCCCTGAACATTTCCTTCATGCTGTACCTTCTCTTGAGATGTAGGTATAAAGAGATTTCTAAGTCACCTCCAGTAATAATTCCACAGTTGGAAGTCTTTTTTTATCTTTGCCCCGTGAGGAATGATCATCAGGTGTGTAACTGCATCGTGCCTTGCCAGGGGATGTGACACCTCCTCATCCCATACCACCAGGAATATTATTCCTGCCCAGCCTACTCTAAATACAATTTTTTACTTCAGAGAGCCAACTAAGGGAATCTTTTCTGTCTCTTAATTTTTCCTGGGACCATATGTCTAGATGCATGGCCCTTAGATGGCATCTCTGTCCAACACTTACTGCTGCATTGAGGTTGATTCTTTTATCCCACAGTAGTGGTTTGATCAGTGTAGCAGTGCCTGTGCCGTGGCTTCATGGAAATCAGGCAAATCATGTGGTGGGTTGGTATGTTTGAAAATAACACTTGGATCTCTCTGTATTTCACACTTCATTTCCCAGCAGTTTGTTTTTCTAAGTGGCTGTGGCCAACCTGAGCTGTTGTTAGGATGTCCAGTGGGTGCCCTGCACACCGGTGTGCTGCAGTGACTCGGGGCTGCTCTCAGAAATGCTGGGGAGCACTTTTTCCTCAGGAGACCGGGCTGCTCCACTGCTCTGTCTGTACAGCTGAGCGGCTGTGACTGTTTCCATCCCATCGCTGCAGACTGATTTCTCTGTGGGAATGAGAATGAGTGGTTTGCTTAGCGGGTAACATCGATGGAACTCCTTTCCTGGGGCAAATAAAGATTTTGAAGCAGTTTATTTCCAATTATCAAATCACAGTACTCTACCCTTAATCCCATTGCAGCTCTGGTAGCTAGTTTAGCTGTACCTGATTTTCAACAGTCAACTGGTTGATTTGGTTTAATGCCATATCTATATTTTTAGCAGTTGTTTGTCCCTGCAGTCTGTCTTTTGAATGCTATCAGTCTTTTAGCTTTTTGTTTCTGAAGGTCTATATATGAAGTACTTCATGATACTACTGTATTAGCAAAGGAATTAAAATAGATTAAGGTATAGTATATGAACATGGAATGAATTGAACTGATTTTATTAAAAAGTAATTTGATACTCTTGGCAGGTTATCAGAGGGTGGAAAACAATTCTTCATAAACGTACATTGCCTAGGTAGTCATGCTGAGAACAATTTTGGAAGAAGCGTACCTGGAAAAATGTGGGCACTTAGAACAAATAAATAAGTATCAAATTCTATATAATCTGAGGAATTACACATTTTATAACTTTATCCTTGAAAAGCCTCTGGCTGTGAAATAAAATCAAAGGAAGCATTTCATAACAAGTTAAACATTTGTTGTATTTGTGAACTTGTTCTGCTTGATGGTTTAAAAAAATAAAATGTAATTATGATTAGACTAGTACAATGTTTAATTTGTTTTGGTTTTTGAAGTAATAAGTACTTATTCTGTGTTCTGACATTTAGACAGTTTTAACTAATTTTTTTCTACATTTGAAAATGTGTTATAATTTACAGGAAGAAAATTGTAATGTCTTGTCTTGTTTCTTGTGCAAGTACTTAGAAGTGATAAAGTTCTAATTAATATATTTCTTGGAACAGATGTACCAAGTCTAATATTAGAAGATAGTGAAGATGAGAATGCTTCATCAATTTTTGAGACGAGCTGTCACTCGGGATCACCAAAGAAACAGTCATCAGCTGCTATACATAAACCCTACCTTCATTTTACAATGTGAGTGTTTCTCTAAATGCACCTTGAAATTCTTACATCAGGAGAGGTAACAAAGATGATCTTTTGCTTTGTGGTGGCAATAATGTTCTGTAATAGAAATGTGTAGGTGTATGGACAAGAGTTTTAGATAACGTGAAGGATCTTAGGAAGGGCCACATCCTAGACACAGTAATCACAAATATTTTGCAAAAGACAATTGTAGCTTAGAAGTACAGGTATTTACAGCAATTCTTATTTGTAACAAGCTGTTTTGATTTGAAAGATTAAGCACTGGGAAGAGAGGTATGTAGGAATATTTTGGAGGGATTGTTTGCTTTCTCTTGGTCTAAAGTATTGTTGAGCTTCAGTGTATGCAGCTGTTTGGATGCATTGTATGATTGATGCATTCAATATTTCTAACACCTTTTTTCATTGTTTTTCATGGAAAGCTTTGGGAAAATGGGAATTTAGAAAGTATGTGTGAAATTTGGATAAGTCTTTCCTGTATAAATTGGAATGGCTACAGTAATTAACAATAATAAACTAACATTTCTTTGTTTTGTAGTGAGAATAGTTTTACACTACTTTATGTGATGGGTTCTTCAGGGAGTTTGCTAAATAAAGAAAATGAGATTAGAAAAACTCTTCAGTAGTAGTACTGTTTAATAGAGCCATCTTGTGGAAAACTGCTATAATTTTTGTGCTACAGAGTGATGCCAGAACAACATTTATGGAAATCTAAGCTTAAAAGTAAGGATTTAAGTTCGAATGGTTTGAGGTATATATTCAAGTATTTTAATGCCAAATTTAAACTTTTGTTGTGAGAGTGGGAGGTGGAACCCAAAACCAAAGCAACAATGTGTTTGGGTGTCTGTCTAAGTAAAGTAATCTCAAAGAGTATGTTTATATTTGTAAATCATGTAATCCTCCCTTAATCTGCCTTTCTGAGCATTTTTGATTGAGGCTGTGTGCCTCACCTCCACCACCAGACCTGAAAAGCCAAAGGTCAGCAATGTTCATAAGCTGTCACAAAATATTTAACCTGAAATAAAACCAGTCTTGTTTGACTGCCCGAGCTGATTGATGTGCAGATAAAAATGCCTTAATGAGAGAAAATGCAAATTAATTTTAAAACTTTATTTTTTCATAATAAATTTTCTATAAATGGAAAAGAATTTTAATAGAAAAACCTAATGGCTTTAATGTGTGTGTAGCTTTGCACAGATACATTTGAATTAGATTGTTGTGAAATCGGAGTAGACAGAGCTTGAGTTGTTGAGATTGGCGTAATGTTGAGTTATACTAGAATTAGTTGAATCTTTTAAGACTATTGTAGGAGACTGTTATCTGTTACTGAAGGCCTCTTGGATTCTAAAAAAATCTTATTATATATAAGCATGTTAATTGTAATTTGGAACTGCTGTTTTGCTGCAGGTCAGCTTATCACCAGCCAACCTCTTACAGACCAAGATTACTGCTATCTGGAGAGAGAGGTTCGGGTCAGACTTCGCACCTTGCTCCAGCACTATTGCACACTCTTGAAAAATTCTCTGTACACAGGCTAGATTTGCCAGCACTTTATTCAGTCAGTGCCAAAACGCCTGAAGAATCGTGTGCACAGGTGACATTTCAGTTTCACTTGTAATGAATTAATTATGTAATTCTGGAACAGATTAGTTGCATCAGTGTAAAGGCAGCTAACTGGAATGTAACTTAAAAGCCAGGTTTTCATAGGCTCCTTCTGTTTTAATGTTTAAAAGAAAGGAGTCTCTAGAGGGTGATTGAGATCTCTCTGGTGACTAGTGAGAGTAATTAAATTTTTAACTTGCCCCCTCAGTCACACACCTGAATGTCAAGTAAGCTTAACCTGGGTATTTGATTCCTGATTTTCATTTTACTAGCTTGTGTATGAATCGGTGTGCTGTGGTTCTAGGTTCAGGTACTTAGTTTTAAGTGGTTTAGATTTCAGAAAAATTTGTGATGGATTTTGCATGGATTGCAATCCAAATTTTCATCTGTATTGTTCAATTTTAGCAAGTTTTTAAAACTTGATGACGTAGTTATTTTGTAGTCTCCCTAGCATGTTGACATAAAATAATTGAATGATACAGCTAGCAGTCACAAACAATTGTTTAGAAAGCCTTTATCATTAGATAATTTTATTTTACTGGAATGTTTGTACATAAAATACCACTAACTTGAGTCATTTCCTATTCCACAAGAATTTTATTACTCGCAAGTGATAATAATAATTAGTTTCTTAGTTTAAATACCACTCTTTCTTTTAATTAGATCTTTCGTGAAGCTCGAAGAACAGTACCAAGTATTGTTTACATGCCTCATATTGGTGATTGGTGGGAAGCTGTCAGTGAAACTGTGAGAGCTACTTTTCTAACTTTGCTGCAAGATATACCATCTTTCTCCCCTATATTTCTACTGTCTACCTCTGAGTCCATGTATAGCGAATTGCCTGAAGAGGTAAGTTTATTATGGAAGGAGATGTTCTTAGGGAGGTATGTGTTCTTCAGAACATTTTGATTGTGTAAAAACATGGTTTTGCACTGGTTTTCTCCCTTCATTTAAAATATGTCAAACCAAAAATGTAATTTTAATTAAATGTTTTTAATTTTCTTTAATGAGGGATGTACGTCCGTATCACCAGTTTTCATAATCTCTCTGCTACTTTGCTAAGAAGACAGAATTGTTCATTTTGACAAATTACTTCATGGTAATTAAATGCAGATTTAGTCTAAAGGCCTAACCTTTAGCTTTACATCCTCTGAGGTTCAGGATGGGGGAGGGGAGTTCCTATTTTTTCCCCTCAACATTTTCTTTGGGTGTGGGTTGGGATTTTTTTTTTTTTTCCCCCCATCCCTTTCTCTTCTTTTTTTTGCAGAGGTGGCCAGTGTTAGCATCATGGGATACTGCAAGTTTAGTTACCACAGAAAATTCAGTGAGAATTACAAGTATTTGTTTTCCCCAGTGTCCTGTTTTTTTGCTAGGATAGAGTTAATTTTCTTAGTAGCTAGAAAGCACTGTGTTTTGGTTTCAGTGTGGGATTTGCTATGAGGACAGTGTTGATAAGGTACAAGGACATGGTGTTTGGGTAGTTTGCAAGTGCAGAGGACTGAGGGGGGGAAAGTGTAGTAATTAGCAAAACCCAGAATTGACAGTTGGATGTGCCAATAAGATATTCCATATCATATCACATCATGTTCAGTATATTAACCAGGCTATATATTAACTATCACACCCAGGCTGTGTACACAGTTTTGGGTAGACTTTACTGTCTTCTCTCCCATGGCTAATTTTGAAAAGTTTGCCACTGGTGTTTTAATACGGTTGTCACTTGTGTATTTTTGAATGGGGTTCACTTTTCATATGGCTTTTTTTTTTTTTTTTTTTTTTTTTAGGTGAAATGTATTTTCAGAATCCAGTATGAAGAGGTTTTTTATATTCAAAGACCCAGTGAAGAAGACAGATTGCGATTTTTCAAAGGGTTAATTCTTGATGAGGCAGCGATGCCACCACCAAGAAGGAAACAGGCTGGTAAACTAAGTTACAATAAACCCAATAATAATGTGATCTAAAAGTTTTCTTTTGTGATATTTTCCTTTTTCAAAAGGTGTGGGTTGGTGACTGTTACTGTCATTAACATTTGACAGTATTAATCAATGCTCAAAATAAATCTCTGCTTTACAGTTACCTATTTAGGAAATTGGAGAGTGGTGGGGTTAAGGATGCAGTGATAGTTAGACTGATGAAGGAATTTAAATATATAGTTAAATTTGGATTGGTATAATCCCAAGAGCTACTGTGTTGTTAATATTTCCATTGTCTGATTTCTTGTTTTTTTCCCTAGCTCTTCGTGCTCTGGAAGTTCTTCCTCTTGCACTGCCATGTCCAGCCCGTGAGCTGTCAGAAGCAGAAAAACAGCGAATGGAGGACCAGGAAGAGAACACACTGAGAGAGCTGCGGTTGTTTCTCAGGGATGTTACCAAGAGGCTGGCCACAGACAAACGCTTTAACATCTTCAGCAAACCGGTGGATATTGAAGAGGTCTTGTTTCAGTAACGTGCAAACAATGAAGTTGAAACTGTTAGAAAAAGAGTATAAATAAAAAAAAAAAAAAAAAAGAAAAGGAAATGGATAAGTTAATAAGAAAAACAGATGTTTGATCCATGATCTTCCCAATCTAAAATGCTGATTTTTAGCTGGTGAGATAGTCAGCGCTTCATCATCTGTGATTCAAGGAGTTGGAGCGTGGTCTTTGGCTATACCAGTGACCTATTGAAAAACCTTGTGCATTCCTGTCAATTTTATAACTGAAATCAGCATTTAAAAATGCTATCACTCCTGTCCCTACCAGTGCTCTTGAAATAGTTGAAACCGTAAATATAACTCTTTAATAAAAGCTTTTACAACACTGTCATCATAGACATGATAATATTGGGAAAGTGAGCTGTGTTCTGTAATGTATTCAGCATTAATTGTATTGTTGAATAATTTCAGCAGTAATGCTTGTGGATGCCATTAATCACAGATGGTAGCACATTATAAAGCATTAACTGGTCGATTATGGAGTGTGCACACCTAACTGATGAGACAGTTCTATCTGCAAATCTATTTTCAGGTGCTGCTCTTTGAACAGGATTGTGTTTGGTTTGTCTTTGGGATCAGATTCTGTCTCACTGCAAGCTTTTCAAGCTTGCCAATTTAAAAAAAAAAAAAGGTTAATTGCTTCTGGGGAGAAGCATCTCTTGGAAGACATGAAGAGATTAATATGGTACATTAAAAGTACAACGTTGTAAAAAGCAGATTTACAGTGTAAATTCCATGCAGGATGGAACAGGCATGTGTTATGGACCCATTCAGTCCTCTCTTAATTTGAGTTTTCCGTAGTGTTCTGTAGCTGACTGTTTTTGTAAGACTGACAAGCTCTTTAACGAGGCAGCTTACAGTGTGAGCGTGATCTGAGCAGTATCTTTGTTTGATTTTTATTATGAGACTGCTTGAAAGGTCCATTATTGAAGGAAACTCTTCATGCTCCTAGTAAAGGCAATTTCTTTCCCCAAAGAACTTTTGTGGTCTAAAGTTCACATGAAGAAAGAACAAATAACCATCCTTGATGGAGGGAATCGAAATGTAAATGTGTTTTTAAAGACTTGCCAAAACCTCTGCTAATATATGACAGCAGTAGGAATTAAGCGTAATCCTTTTTGTCCCACCTGGTGTATTTAAGCACAGGACTATCCTTTCCTTTTCTACAAGAGCCTGTCTGCTTGACTTTCTTAGAAAATGTTTTAGGTTTGTTCCACTCCTACTTGCATTGCAGAGAATGCTGCTATGTGTTGAGTCAGAGATTTTTCCTGACTAATTCAGCAGCAATATTTATAGTTTCCAGTGAAGATTTTTTTCTCATGCTGTGCTAACAGCAAAAGGAAACCCATGACTTGGCTTTCCAGTCACTGAACCAATTATCATCATGTTTCCATAGAGGGAGTCAAGACGATAATTTCTACCATTTAATCATAGAATCAATCATAGAATCATAGAATGGTTTGGGTTGGAAGGGACCTTAAAGATCATCTAGTTCCAATCCCCCTGCCATCAGCAGGGACACCTTCCACTAGAATTTAATTTTTTTATCATACATTTTAATGTGTATATTTGAGGAATTAGGTGATACACTGCTGTCCACTGAAATAATGCATTAATGTTAGTTTATGTTGTAATATATTTTTGCATTAATGTCTACAGATACTTTATTTAAAAAAATCCTTATGGAACTGTTATGGCTTGATCTGAATATATATTTAATTCTTCAGTATTTTGGCAGTCACCATCATACATGGGTGATTTCAAAAGAAAAAACACTGTTTCTGAGGCTGCCAATATTTTTAATTGATTAAAATCTTAATCGCATTGAAACATTCAAGCATAGGGGTTTTTCCTCACAAATTCATAGATTTTTTTGCTGAACTCTGTTACAGCAGCTGTGCTGATGCATTTTACAATCAAGCTTGAACCCCTTATGGTACCATTAATAACATTAAATACTTTTTAGTGTACCCTAGTGGATGCTAAATCTCCGGTTACGAGTTAGGCTTGTAGTGAGCTGTGAACTCTTGACACAAGGCTTTCTCTTTAGACTGCCCTTCTGTACAGTCAGTCTCATGTATTCAATCGATAAAACCTGACTTTTTTGTTGAACAAGTGATTGAAAGAAGTATTCAATAGAAGATATTTAAAAGCTAGTAATTTGACTGTTCAGTTTAATGAGAACTTTACCTACAAGGTGAACAAAATACAGCTTCCCTAGTTTTTCTAGAATTTTGTTAGGCTAATTTTTTTTTGCCTTTCTAGCCCAAGACAGTGCTATAACACTATTAAAAAAAATCAGTCTAAAAATAACAAATACATTTACATTACAATGTTTTACCTGAAAAATACCATCAGATTAATTTTGGAAGACAAGTTGGTGAGCTACTGAAGAAAAAGCTTTGAAAGTCCTGTGTTTTATTTAGTGTGATAAAACTTCTGTTTTCAACATAAATTTGTTGTTAGTTTGTTAATGTATTAGAGCTAAGTGTGTGATAAATGAGAGTACAAAGATGTGAATTTGGCTTATGCAGTCCTGTGTCATTTCTGTATGCTGTTTGTTTGTAGGTTTCAGATTACCTTGAAGTTATCAAAGAGCCCATGGACCTATCAACAGTAATAACCAAAATTGATAAACACAACTACTTAACAGCCAAGGATTTCCTGACAGATATTGACCTGATCTGCAGCAATGCATTGGAGTACAATCCAGATAAAGATCCTGGAGGTAAGCACCTACTTCATTTTGGCCTACCTTAGACTTTGTACATGCAACAAAACCCAATGTAATTTGGAAAGCTCTGTAGAGAATCCGGCATGCAATCTGGCAGTGGCCTGCTTTATTTCCACATTTGGCTTAGAACGTGAAATTCACCCACAGAAATTAAGAACTATGTATTTGGGGATCAAAATGAAACAGGATAAATCATCAGGCAAGGAAGTCAGTTGCAGCTGATTAGCAGGGATTAGAAGGTATTGCCTTGACGAAGTGTGATGGGATGCTTTCAATTAAAATGGAATTTGTAGATTGAAATGCATGTAAAAACTGTTCACACTCAAAACTAAAGAAAGAACATCTTGTGTACTCTTTGCTAGGGCTGCCCTACAGTGTACATTGCCTAAAGAAAGCCTTTCCGTTGGCAGCTGCCTCAATAAAACACAACAAAAAAGCACTCTTAATGCAGTTGTGTTTAATGTAAGTGATACTTGGAAATCTGGGTCCATCTGCGAATGTCGGCCAATGCGTTAAGAAGTTTTTCATTAAATCTTACGAGAGCGTTTTACCAGGTTAAAGTCTGATTTTCTGTATTTTTCTTGCCTCTCAAATTTTTGGTTTTGTGAAGTTTTTGCAAATGTCTTGTGTGTGGACTAGATACAGTATAGTCTGGTCAGACAGTTACACTTGTTTCACATTGCCTCTTGAACCCGGTGCTGGTTCGTATCTGTAGAAGATAGTTTATTTCTTCAATTTATGATGTGTTTAGTTGTACAACTGAAAAAAAATGCATTGATAGTATACAGCAAGAAGATTTCTATGTTCTTGATAACACACTTTTGAGGACTTCTAATGTGTAATTGATGTGAACTTATCAAAGCTTTGATGGACACTTGGGATTCTGAGTATCTCTGAAGAGCGCCTGTTTAGAAGATGAGGACTGTGAGACATACTTCCTGCATGAGACTGGCGTATGTTTGTGACTTAGTGATGGGCTTTGGGAAAAATTGTTGTTAGTATACACCCTTTGTTCTCATTTTTAGGGTATTGGGATCTGTGGTCTTGCTTGTTTAATTCTAGGAAATGTAGTCTGAAGAGGTGTTTTGAAGTTTTAGAACAAGTGCCATGGGAGTACAGACTTCCAAGGTCAGATCTTCTCAGGATCATAAACGACACGAGTCACGGGTTCAGTGTGGCAGAAATATAAAATAGCAAAGACAGCTTAGCAGAAATTTTCATTGAGCTTGTCCGAAGAGAGAAAGTCTTAAGGAATACATTTAGGGAACGAAAATAGGGATATTTTGGTTTTCCTTGCCATCAGGATTAAACTGGGAGAAATGGATCTGGCTATTTCTTGGTTGAGTTTTGGACTGGAGTTTCTCATCATTGAGTAGGTAATGAAAGATAGTTCTGTCCTCTGTGTTGTCAACAATTGAGGATGTATTGCTCTTCTGGCAGGCAAGATTTCTTGAGCTGTTGCATGAATAAACTGCTGAAACAGCACATCTTGTCTATTCTAAGTAAGCATTACATGCATTCAGATACATTAACTGAATATTAACCTATAAATGTTCACATTCTTTAAAGCTGGGCTTATATGCTTGCCTCTGCTTCATGCTTGAATTTCCAGAAGAATGCTGTACCTGCTTCTGTCCTGTTGTTCAGCTGGAAAAGCAATTGGATTACCGGACTAGCTGGTTTTATATGCAGTACACATATTGAAAACTGTCATCTTTGGGTTTTTTTCTCTGGTACTTTGCTATAAAATTTCAGATAGGTTAGGTAGTAAGATAGTGGGGTTTTTTCCCCTCTATTGTTTGACCAGGAAGTTGTAATAGTATTTGCCTCTTCGAATCAGTGTCTGTGGGAAAGTCTTGCCTATTGCAGAATATGAGGAAAGTGATTTGAAATACTCTTGATTTGATTTTTCTTTTTTTCCCCTTTTTTTCCCTTCTTTCTTTTGTGAGGGTATCTTAAACTTTATTATCTGACCCACTTTTTAAAGTCTAATACCACAAAATTACATCTGCAAAGAATGCAGTGTATTTTTGTGATCATAAAACATAATGCTTCACAAATATATGTGGGCAAAAATTTATAGTTTCCAGTTGATTTAAGTGGTGGTGATACTGAGCTGGATACTGGATGTTGTTTTTCACTAAGCAGTTTTTCCGGCTGTAAAATTTGCTGGTTCTAGAATTATAAACCTTATTAAATAAATGTTCACTGATACTCTTAATTGTTGTCTTTAATGATTATTAAAACAGATTAAATCTGCTAATTATATAACGTGTTGTAGACATTAATGTTGATGGTTGCTGTTGAAGTACCTCCATCAACTGGAAAAAATAATTCAGTATGGATGAATTGACGAATTAAATATGTTTGTACTAAAAGGAAACAATGATTGT